GACGCGGGTACCCGATGGGGATAGACCGAGGCTGTACTAAAAAAGGGAAAAAGCGATTGTCGATCTCCCGTTACGGGACCACGGTGCCGAACCTGTTGCCATATCGCTAGGATCTGGGACTGTCAAGAGCGAGGCTAGTCCGTGATCGATCGATTGAGTTCAGGGGACAGGCCTATAAAAGGGAGAGGGAGTTGAGATATCGTCCGCGGCCTGTCGCCTGGTGGTATACAGTCTGAACTGTGAGTTCCGGTGGGGAGCATTCTGCTATTGGAAATCGACGGTCTAGTATTGTGCTGTCTATCGAGCGGGAGCTGGCTATCCTGAGTGGCTATGGCACTACACGGCTATAGGCCTGACTGTTGGCGGCATACGGTGCGCTGGGTTCTGATGTCGGGCGAAGGCCCTCAGATCACTACGGTCCTGAACTACGACGGGGGAGAGGTAGTCCGACTGAAGGTCTGCATAGAAGGGGGGAGACAGGAGGAGATGCGAGGTGACCAGAGGTTGCAGGCTGCCATTTCCGAAGCTCGTGACAGGGCGGAGCGGAGGTGCAGGCGAGATGGGGTGACCGTGGGCTTGAGGGTGTCGGTCATCTATCACGAGACCGAGTCATCAACTGGGACCGAGACAMRGGAGGAACAGTACAACGAGAGAGACTCAGGTGGGGAGAGCGAAATGAGTGAGGCRRACCGGGAAACTGACCTCAGGTCCTGGATCAGGCCAGGTGAGATCCAGAGGCACCACCGAGCCGCGGAGCCGGTGGAAAAGGGACCCGAGGCCAGCTCACGACAGCTGACGTCCAGAGGCCGAGGGACAGGTGAGAAACCGAGCAAGGGAAAAAGACGGGTCTGAAAAAACGTGCGGATGAGAGTGTGAACACRACGAAACTCGAAGCAAGAGGGATGAGGCAAGAGTAGTGGAAAAGTGTACTTGCGCGACACGTGGCAGTTCAGCAGAGGGAGAAGAAGGTCAATAAAAAAGGTGGGGACGTGCGATCTTGCAGAATACAGWTGATGTCAAYAACTGTACCCAGGAGCGCTTGCTGTGTTCGRTGTTCACTTAGTCATAGTGAGTTTTCGTGCTGCGGAAGAGATTAGGAGAGATGGCGAGTGATCGTGTCAAGTGACTAGAGGATGAGTCTACTCCTGCGTTTTCGTGCGGTCCGCTTCGGGAGATCGGCTTAGGAGAGACAACAAAGTGGACGTCACTCGGAAACACACGCAAAAGCTGCATGGGCGGAGTGGGTRCACACACGCGCGACAGGTGTTCGCTCGAGAGAGATGCAGCGTGAAGGTCAAAGAAAGTGTGCAGGGGTTGACGTCRGCACTTGCCTGCACGCTTGTGTGAGATGCGAGTTGTTGYTTTCGATAGGAAGTGCAGAATGGGTCGTGAGAGAGAGGGTCTGWATAARGAAGGGAGTCAGTTCAGAMRGGAGTGACGAYGAAGCTGGTACRGGCGGGTAGAGAGTGGGCTGCAGTGAGATSGAGAGCACGCCTTCCTGCCCCGCTCTGGAGCAGTTAGCACCACCCCTAGTATGAARTTWTGTGCTGATGGTGCGCTGCTACTCCATCTAGAGGGYGARCCTTGAWTGTGGGACTATACGCTCGCTACRAGAGAGMARCTGGGACKCGACGGACAGTGGGCACGAACTAACCAGGTACAGTTGACGTCGTCYGCYGTCTTCCCKCGCACTCRCGCGCRGTATTATGTGTCGGCTGAGCTGCGGGGAGTTTTCATGTCGTGGTGAAGGGTCGGAGGGGAAGGCACGTGAGAGAGTGGAAGAGATCGAATGAGGAGGGGTACGTGAGAGGGAGCCCAGTGCTGTTGGCATCAACAAATTTTATGTAAGTATGACCTGATTGTGCCTTGAGAAGGGTTAACTCTCACGGACTCGGATGACTGGGGAGGACTTCGACATAAGGCAGTGACCATTGATAGTACGTTTGGATTCCAGCTTATTGTGTCCGAGTTCAACAACAATAGTAAGATTTAGTAATGTGGAAACAAAACTTTGTTATGGCAGTAGGTTTCATTTGAAGAGTCCTTGCTTGAGCTAGTAACAGGGCTGAAACCGGGCCGCAGAGATGAGTATTGAGTGATCACGAGTCACGTTGAGTCGTTGACACTCAGTGAGTGGGATGACGTTAGCATGTATTATCGTAGGGGAGTACCTTCTCTTGGTCGTTGTCATTATCAGTTATCTTTTCGTCTCACAGTCTCTTATCACTTCTCCTTTCCCTCGTCGGGCTGCAGGTATTGAACTCCTTTTAAAGCATGAGTGTGAGACTAGTCCTTGTGCCCAAGAGCGTAGTGAAGATCATTCACGCCTGTGTTTTAGTCGTCAGCGTGAATTAATCTTGGGACCGCTAAGCGTGATTGGGTTATAATTCGTGAGTATGGCTTCTCTTCTCGAGAAGACCACCTCCATCGAGACATGCTATGAATAGTTCGCGAGCTTGACAACCGATATTCTCATCCAATTCGTAGATGGATGATGGCCTTCTATGACGATCATGTTTTCAGAACAGGCTAGTGTGAAGAGGAATTTGCACGTGCATTTTGAACAGTGTAGAGTGACCCCAATCAGCGTGTGCCTCCGGTGGAGAGTGMTGGACTAGGTCTGARGTAGGSAACAGTACGCACTAGCCCGCGGCTCTCTGATRGTCGTGTCCTTWGMGAGSGACRRCCRCAAAATTGGTAGGAGGAAAGAGGTACCAAAATATTTTGATRAAATGAGYRTTTATTCGAGACTCCYATCAGCAAGTGTGGTAGGTGGTGCTAGTGAATCATGCTCATTGGCTTTGAGTTGGCGGGACTCATCGTCTCCAAACTAGAAACTGGCAATTACGATGACTTTATATCCACCTTC